CGCTTACAGTTTCAGAGATTCAGTCTATTATCGTCACGATGGGGAGCACAGTGGTGTGCAGGCAGACATGGTGTTGGAGCTGAGGGTGCTATACCTTGCAGACATCAGGAAGTTGACTGCGACACTCGCCAGCCTCTGCCTCCCCAGTTCTGGGATCAAAGGTGTGCCCCACCACCACACAACTCTAAATTTTCTTTTAGTTCTTTTCAAAAATTGGAAACTTAGTTGGGTGGGATCTTTCTCTAAGATCACCACTCCCTTTATCTCATTTCTTAGTCCATTTATCTCCTTGAACACAGAGTTTAGATCTATTCTACTTCCTGGTGCTCTTGTTCTCCTCAAAATTTACTTTTTGTAATTTACCCTGCTCAGCTTGCTCCTTTTCATTATAAATCTTCATTACAGTTATCACTAATATCCACATGACAGAATCTATACTGGGCTATTTTGAGATTTCTTCTGCCAACACAATTAATCCAAAACTCTTTGCTTTGAGTCTCAGGCAGACTCTTTGAACAAGGGCAAAGGTAGCCACTTTCTTCACCAAAATATCACAAGATACTAAAATTCTCTGAAACCTCTTGAGTGAGCTCCTGACAGTTCAAATAACTCTTAGCACCTCTGTATTCCATGTTCCTACTAATATGGCCCATTAAGCAGTGCTTAAAGCATTCTACTGCTCTCATAACCCAAAGTACCTAAGTCCAAATTCCTCCAAACAAACACATGGTCCAGCCTATCACAGCAGTACCCCAGGCCCTCGTACCAACTTCTGTCTTAGGTAGGATGCCATGACCATGGCAACTCTTATAAAGAACACATTTAATTGGGGTGCTTGGCCACAGTTTCAGAAGTTCAGCCTATTATCATCAGTTGGGGAGCATGGTGGCACACACACACGTGATGCTGGAGCTGAGAGTGCTATGTCTTGGAGGCAACAGGAAGTCAACTGAGACACTCAGCAGTATCCTGAAACCTCAAAGCCCACCCCCACAGTGACACACTTCCTCCAACAAGGCCATACCCACTCCAAAGAAGCCTCATCTTCTAATAGTGTCACTTCCTATGAGATTATCGGGGCCATATTCAATCTACCACATGCATTTAAAACAATAAATAAAACAAACAGAAGAACTACCACAAAGCAAAACATCATAAGCAAGTCACAAAGAATCTACAGCTCAGATTCAGAAAGTTGCACTTACATATTTAGGGGTATGTGTAAGGTGTGTGTAGGAAAACAGGCTATGAATTTGAGAGGGAATGATAGGAGAGACATGGGAGGAATGGGGGAATGGGAATAGAAAAATCACACACACACACACACACACACACACACACACACACACACACACACGTCTACAATTCATATCTGAACCAAAGAACAACACTCCCTACTTTTAAAAGAACACTTGGAAATTGAGAAGAAAAAGACAAACACAGAAGAAAAAGGGCCAACTACAAAAAACATCTAGCTCAGAGGGCAAAAACAAAAGCAAAGGAGCTCTTGAACATTTAAAAGGATTGGCCTCACTCAGAACAGACTAAAGCCTGCACCACACTGCTCTTCACCTCACAAATCCTTTTCTTTCTTCCTGTTTTGTTTTTTTCCATGCGAGGCACAAGAGGAACATTTGAATTTGGTTAACTGATGTGCATAGCTCCTGAAGGACAAAGAAACCCTAAAATGTGTTATCTATAAAAGGTAGCAGTGGATAGAGTATAATTCTCACTACATAAGCCTGATTTCAAAGTCATGTATCTCTACTCAAAAATTAAAACAAACATTAATGCTTGTTAAATAAATGGGGCTAGGTGGTGGTGGTGCACACCTTTAATTCCAGCACTCAGGAAGGCAGAGGCAGGCGGATCTTTGTGAGTTCGAGGCCAGCCTGGTCTACAAGAGCTAGTTCCAGGACAGGCTCCAAAGCTATAGAGAAACCCTGTCTTGAAAAACAAAAGCAAACAACAAACAAAACAAACAAGAAAAGGAAAGAAATAGGGCTGGAGAGATGGTTCAGTGGTTAGGAGCATAGCACCCATAGAGGCTCGCTGTTACTCCAATTCCAGGGAAGCCAATGCCCTCTTCTGACCTCTGGCACAGGGCATGCTTATATACAGGCAAGCAAAACACTCACACACAGAAAAAATGTAAAAGACACAGATCATCTTAAGTTTCTTTTCTTTTTTTCTTCAAGACAGGGTTTCTCTGTGTGTAACCCTGGCTGTCCTGGAACTCAGAGATCCAACAGCCTCTGCCTCCCAGAATGCTATGATTAAAGGTGTGTACCACTACTGCCCAACTTAATATTTATCTTTTTGTACTTTTAGTTTTTCGTTAAAATTTCAATGTTTAAAAACTGTACAGTTGGGCTGGAGAGATAGTTCAGAGGTTAAAAGCACTGGCTGTTCTTCCAGAGGTCCTGAGTTCAATTCTCAGCAGTCAAACGGTGGCTCACAACTATCTATAATGAGATCTGGTGCCCTGTTCTATCATGTAGGCATACATACAGTAAAAACACTGTATTCATAATAAATAAATCTTAAAAAACTATATAGTTTTATGAGCAAACACGATAGTCAAACATACTAATATGAAATATAATGAATATATATGAAATATGTATATATTTCATATACATATGAAAATATATGAAAGATAATATCTAACATATATGTAAAATTCTGCAATATTCATTCACATAATTTATATAGTTAAACATAATTTTTATTTTTGCTTGTGTGTCCCTCCAAATTTGTACTACCACTTCCTACTACTTGAGACAGGGTTTCTCTCTGAACATGGGGCTCCTGTTCCTTGGCTAGGCTGCAACAAAAGCAGAGGTATTCCAGCAATCCTCCTGCTTCACCTTTCTTGGAGCCAATGTTATAAGTGTGTGTAGGCACCAGGCCTGTTACATGGCCATTGGAATTAGAACTCTGGTCTTCATGAGCTTTTAACTGCTAAGCCATCTTTCTGGCCCCCTAATTTGCATTTCTTGAAGCAACAGATTGTCAGAAAATGAGTATCAGTGGCATACTCAGCCACAAATGGAACAGCTCTAAACACAGACAGACTGACAGACAGACAGACAGACAGACAGACACACACACACACACACACACACACACAAAGTGGTCAGGGAGGACCTCTGGACAGGGCTGGACCCCTGCTCTTATTATCTCCTAGCAGCTATGGTTGCCTACATAAAACCATGAGGCCCTATTTTTAAAATGCACTTGCACATAAACAAATATGAAAGAAAACTTGAAGCAAGACATACTGAACACTGCTTAAAAAATTCAAATGTGCTAACCATATAAATACATTAAAAATAAGACTATGGGGGATGGCTGGAGAGATGGCTCAGTGGTTTAGAGCACCGTCTGCTCTTCCAAAGGTCCTGAGTTCAATTCCCAGCAACCACATGGTGGCTCACAACCATCTGTAATGAGATCTGGCGCCCTCCTCTGGCATGAGGGCATACATGGAGGCAGAATGTTGTATACATAATAAATAAATAAATCTTTAAAAAAAAAAAAATAAGACTATGGGAAAAGGCATCCCAGACAGTGCTGACTTAGAGAACTAGTGAGGTGGTCTGGTTCCGTGACAGTTGAGGCAGATAAAGAAAGGCACTTCATGGACAAGTCATCAAAAGAACAGTTATTCTAACTGGCCATACACTTCAGAATAGGGCTTCAAAACATAGGAGCGAGGCTAACAGAACTTCAATAGAAACATAAACCTACAATTACAGTTGGAGGGGCTAGAATTCCTCTATCAATTGACATAGCAAGCAAACAAAAAGGAAGAATCTCGAGTACTTGAACTACACTAATTGGCCCTCCCATTTGTGAAATACTATACAACTACATACACTCTCTTCAAGTGAAGACAGTTTACCAAAAGGTATCATAATCCAAGGCACAAAAATAAAACTCTAACAGAATTTAATAGAATTTGAAACACACATCTGTTGTTTATCATAAGGGAAAAGTTATCAGTAGCAGAAAAGATCTTTAGAAAATCTCACACTTTTATTAGCATTGTTGTATGAGCCAAACACAGCGGCATAGCGGTGGCTGAGGCAGCAGGATGAAGCCTGGGGAAGCCACTGGGTCAAGACATCACTAGTGGATTCAACTTAACATTTAAGGAGGAAATAGCAGGGACCCTACATGAATCTAAAAAATACAAAATGAATATTCTTCAGATCATCCTGTGTGGTCAGGATTACTCAGATACCAAAATCAAACTGACGCAAGAAACCATAGATTAAAATGACCCAGAGGGGGCTGGAGTGGGCTCAGTGGCTAAGAACATGGACTACTCTTGCTCCCAGCTAAACTCTGCCCATAACTTACCAGAGAACCAGCTTGCCCTCCAGGCACAGACACACACAAACATGAACAAAAATAATAAAAATAAATCTTAAAAAAAAGATGCAAAAAGCCGGGCGGTGGTGGCGCACGCCTTTAATCTCAGCACTTGGGAGGCAGAGGCAGGCGATCTCTGTGAGTTCGAGACCAGCCTGGTCTACAAGAGCTAGTTCCAGGACAGGCTCCAAAACCACAGAGAAACCCTAACTAAAACAAACAAACAAAAAAAAAAGATGCAAAAAATACTAAACAAAATCAAATCAGACTCAGCAAAGCAAATCCAAGTCTATGAAAAGAATAACCCACCACAAATCCAGACTATCCCAGACCTTCCAGGTTGCTTTGGCGTCTGAAAATCAATCACTGTAATCCACTATATTAACTGACTGAAACAGAAAAAGCATTTGATAAAATTCGCCATTCATTCTTAACAAATCCTGTCTTTAAAAAAAATTAACAAATAATAAAATAAAACAACAACAAATAGGACAGAATAAGTTGGTCTCTACCCCTTCTCCTGATTCACCATTTTATTAGGACTACTAAATCACAAAGCAGTGTTCTGGTCTACAAAGCTGTATCCAACTGAGGGCTACAATCTACAAGGAAGATTTTACCTTCATTATAGGGCACTGGGTTCCCAATTTTTACTCCAACTGCTTCAGCTGACTTCACAACTTCCACGTCCATCAAAATAACTACTCTCCTACAAAGACAAACAGACACAAGTTAGAAAAAAGAACTCTGGAGCTTTGAGAAGAACTAAACTTTAATGATTGTCTGGCTAAACTGTGTCCTTTATAAATCTTTTCTCACTCATGAATAACTTGAGAAGTGTTAATTCCTATGTAAATAATTCATTCACTAGTTACCCACTCCAATGTTTTTTTGGAATGACTATATGGTATTTATTTCTTATCTAGTTCCTTAATTAAAACAGTATACCTTTCTATGTGCCATTATCTTCACAGATACACATATAAGAATTCAGATTATTAAATACAAAATCCTACAGCACAAAAAGATGACCTGTTTTCAGAACCATTACTTTTTCCCAGAGAATACTTGCTGTGCAAGCACGAAGGCCTGAGTTTGATCCCTAACACCCATATAAACAGGTAATTCAGGCCGCAGTGGTGCACACCTTTAATCCCAGCACTCGGGATGCAGAAGCAGGCGGATCTCTGAGAGGCCAGCCTGGTCCACAAGTGCTAGTTCCAGGACAGGTTTCAAAGCTACACGGAGAAACCCTGTCTCGGAAAAAACAAAACAAAACAAAAAAGCCAGTCAGATGTGGTAGCGCATGCTTATAATTCCAGTGCTGGACAGTCAGCCTAGCATAACCAGCAAGTTCTAGGCTAGTGTACCTATCTCAAAAAGAAAAGTAGATGATACCTAAGGAACAATACCTCTGCTTCCACAGGTACACGCACAAGTACTTACACACATGCATCAACACACACACACACACACACACACATTTCTTTTTAAAGTGCTCATGTGGCTTTATGGTCTGGCTCTGCTATGCTACCACCTCCAGCTAATCTCGTCTCAGCAATTCAAGTGTGCTGCCCTCTAGCCCAGCTGTTTTCTTTCAGTTCCTGGCAGAAGCCATGCTTCCTCCTGCCACAAAGCCTACACACGGTCCTCCAACTGCATTTTTTTCCCATTCTGCTTCATCTAATATGCACTTTTTAGTTCTTATCTCAAACTTGGAACTGAACCAGGGTCTTATTCATGCTAAGAGAATGCTCTACCACAGAGCTACGCCCCTCCAACCTCTATATCAAATATCATTTCAAAAGACATTTTCTTGGTCTCTCATTTAGATCAGTTTCTTTGTCTGACTACAGCCACGATTTCATTCCTTCAGAACATTATTTTTAGTTTTAAATTGATTAGTTATTTCTACTAGACTGTACTTTCACTAAGTGCAGGTAGCCAGTTACAGTGCTTGATTAAGCAACAGCCCAAAGATGTCACTTAATACCTACACAAGATGTCACGATGTCGTCTGCAGACTAAAAGAACTACCCACAGAAGGTCAGCTCAGTAGGTAAAGTGCTTGGGCAATTCTGAGTGTGAGCACTGGAGTTCAGATGCCCAGAAACAGAAGGTCAGCTCAGTAGGTAAAGTGCTTAGGCAATTCTGAGTGTGAGCACTGGAGTTCAGATGCCCAGAAACCCAAATAAATGCCGGGTGGATGTGGTAATCCTCCTGTAATTCCATCTTTCAGAGGGGGAATCCCCAGCACAAGCTGGTTAGCAAGACAAGCCATACTGCAGAGCTCTGGGCTTGACTAAGACCCTGCCTCCATGAAACTCAGGAGTGGAAAAGTGGTTAAGGATAATGACTCCCAAGCCTTGGATTTGCATGTTCATATACAAATGTTAACGTGCACGCACACACACATGCACATCACATGTACACACACATGAAACCTGCGAAAAGAAAAAAGGAGCTGCAACAGAAAAATGGAATTTGAAGGTAATTAACCACGGGGTGGGGGGTGACAGAAAAGAGGATGGTGGACTGAAGGAAAGCCAGCTAGTAGCAATAAAAAGGGGCGGGGCAGGTAAATGTGAGCAAAGATGAAGTAATAACCACACTTTACTGTTTGGATGGTCTGGCTGCTGAAGGCTGGACTTTACATATGATTCAATATGTGCTACCTTTATCAAGTTATCCTTCCAGGGTTATGGCACTTTAACAAAACAAGCCTGAAAAAATGATCTGCTATGAACTGGATATAGACGATCTGTTAAAGCTACCTGCTCAGTCAAATGTGGCGGTGCGTGCTTACAATTCTAGCACTTGGGATCAGGAGTTCAAGGATTACCTCAGATGCACAGTGAGTTAGAAGCCAGCCTGCGCTACATGATACCATGCTCCAGAAAACAAAAATAAAAGACAAAACAAAAAAAGAAACATTAAAAAACAAACAAACAAAACAACTATCTAGGGCTGGAGAGATGTCTCATCAGTTAAAGTTTATACTGCTCTTGCTGAGAACCAGAGTTTGGTTCCGAGTACCAGCATCTAGCAGTTCATCATTGCCCCAGTTCCAGGGCATGATGTCTCTGGTTTCCGAAGGTACTTCCCCAACATATCACATGTATGCATAACCACAAAGACACACACACACACACACACATAATTTGTTTTAAATTTTATCTTGGGCTGAGAGAAATGGTTAGTAAATAAAAGCACTGGATGCTCTTCCAGAGGACCTGTTTGAGTCCGAACTCCTATATGGTGGCTACACAACCACCTGTAACTCCAGATCCAGAATATCTGACACCTTCTTTCGCCCTCTGTAGACACCAGACACACACGTGGTACATACACATGCAGGTAAAACATTCATAAACACAAAATTAAATTTTAAGAAATCTAAAATTCTAACAAAATATTAAAAATGTATTCCATCTTATAACACATATATACATTAAATGAAATAAAGCAAGATGAATACAACTGCATAATCTAATAATACACCAAACCCATTTTACAGAGAACATAGGTAACCTTTACAGGGATACCATAGCAAAATACAGACTATGGGAAACTTTAAGGACAAAAGACAAAGGAGGAACATATGGGTGTTAGAAGCTCTCCAGAGCATCAACCTACTGCTATGTTAATTTACTTTGGCTCCTGATTCAAATATGAATGTATATGCAAATGTATACAGACACATACACATATAAGCATTTATAAATTCATATATATGTGTAGTTGGAACATGAACACTGCTGGATATTTACTTTAGGTGCAAATGGTACCTGCCTTTCATTTTTGTGTGCACGGATGTGTGTAGTATGAATGAGTGCATGCTTGTGTGTGCATACATATGCATGTGGGTGCACATGTTGCATGTGTATGTGCACAAGCCTGAGATCAAGACACCAGTAAGTTGAGTGCCTTTTTGTCCCCCTCGGGACAGGGTTTCTCCATAGGTTTGGATCTTGTCATGAAACTTGCTTTGTAGGACAGGCTGGCCTCAAACTCAGAGATCTGCCTGCCTCTGCCTCCTGAGTGCTAGGATTAAAGGTGAGCACCACCACCGCCTGGTGTTGGGTGTCTTCTATTACTCTCCACACTTTATTCATTTACTCATTAGAGACAAGTCTCTCTAAGTAATCCTGGCTGTCCTGGAATTCATTCTGTAGACCAGGCCGGCTTTGAACTCAGAAAACTTCCTGCCTCTGCCTCCCAAGGCTGGGTTTAAAGGCGTGTCCCATTATGCCCAGCTTTTTATATTCATTTACTTATTATGAGTGCGTTTGCATGCACACACTTGTGCTTTGCTACACAAGTGGAAGTCTAAGAAGTTTCAGGAGTTGGTTGTACAATGTGGGTTCCGGGGGATCAAACTCAGGTCTTGGGCCTGGTGATAAGTGCTTTTTCCTGCTAAACCATCTCACCATACCCTCCACCTTAATTTTTATCCTTTAGTTTTCTAAGAGTGTCACTATGTAGCTATGGTTGTTCTTGATTTGATGCATAGACCAGGCTGGTCCTGAATTTAGAGATCTGCCTGCTTCTGCCTCTGGAGTACTAGAACTAAAGGTGTGGGCCACTCTGCCCAGCCTTCTCCCTTTGTTTATTTGTTTGCTACAGTATCTCTGAGCCCAGAGCTCACCAACTGGGGATCCACCTTCCTCCCACCTCCAGCACCAGGGCCAGAGTAGTGTCACCATGCTTAGCTTTTTATATGGGTGGTGGGGATCCCAACATCGTGCTTGTGAGGCAAGCACCTTACTAACTGAGTTGTCTCCTCAACTCCAGTACTTATTTTTCAAAACTAGTTGATCATTTAAATAAAAATGCTAAAATGTCTACATGTGAAATACTGTATCTGATTCTTACTTCAAGATTATCTAGAGTTTATGTGGGAAATCAGGGACAGAGCAGGGCCCGACATCAAGTGCTGAGTGAGCGCTACAGGGACTCAGTTCCACTGTGTGCTCTGTATACTCTTATATGTTCAAAATCATGTAAAATGTAAAACTGATTTGAGGAAAAAGAAAGGAAACTAAGAGGATTATTTTTTAGAGATAGGATTTATTATGTAACCACAAAAGAACAGTTCAATATTAATCGGTTAAAATAATTCATACTATTAAAGGATTAAAAATAATATGATTATATCAAGCTGTTGTAAAAGCTTTTCAAAAAATTCAAGAGCCATTCCTGTAAAACCCCAAGACTGAACTTGATAAAGTATGTGCACTTTACACGTTAAGTGATGCTAAGCACTGACACCAAAGGCAGCTCCATTGCTATCCAGCTAGAGAGGGTACCTGCTGCTACACTGTCAGCATGGCTTTAATGGTGCTGGCTGATTCAGAGCCATTAGAAACAAAGAGACAGGCCTGGTGAGAGGGCTCAGTGGGTGTGAGCACTTGAGGCACAAGCCTCACACCCGCATTTGATCTCTGGTAGCCATACTGAAGGAGAGAACCAGCTCCTGAAAGGTGTCCTCTGACTTTCACATGTGCACAGCACACGTCTTCTTCCAATAATGAAACACTCAATTATGTCATAGCATATGTGTCCCTACATACATGTGCCCTGCACAAATAATATACAAATGTAAAGAAAAAACTTCAAAAACAAATAATGAGATAATTATCTAAAAAATTGTCGATGGCAAGATATCATATTCTTGGATGAAAAGACCCAATGTCAAAATATATCAAC